AAAAATTCTATAGAAAATTATGTACAGAAAAATTTTAATTTTTTAAAATTATAGAACTTTTTATAGATATTTATAGAAAATTTATAGACTTTTTAATAGAAAGTTATATATAGAAAATTTTAGCAGGTTTTTTTTAATTATAGAAAATTTCACAGACATTTATAGAAAATCTATAGAAAAATTTTAATAGACAATTTAATAGAAATTTATAGAAAATTCATAAAATTTTATACATATAGCATTTTTTCATTTATTTTAAATACTGAAAATTCATAAAGTTTGACAGAACTTTAGAACTGATAGAAAATACTTAAAGTTTAAATTTAAGAGCAAATTTTTAAAGTTTGACAGAAGGTTCAGAGAGTGTGTATTTGTATGTAAACTTTGAGATACGAAATGTTGATTTAGAAATATTATAGGGCAGACATTGTTGAGAGAGAAATGGAACTAGAAACAGGTTTTAAAGGATGATTTTCCAAATAAGACTAGATACTTTAGAGAAATAAAGGAATGAAAGATGCATTGTAGTAGGACCCAGGAGGGGTAATTTTAGATGATTCATTGTAAGTTATTTATAGTATGGTGTGGTTAAAGCTAATAGACTAAGAAACACTTATAGTGTATTGTAATTCGGATTGTGATTGTAATTATAACATCTGTATGGTCTCACCCTTCTCATGAGACTGAAAATAAAAGTTTTGAAAACACCTCTCAGTTGCCCCATCTCTGTTTGAAAAATGTATAATCCAACACCAGTGCTGGAAGGGAAGGAGGACACCGCCATCCCCACAGGCAGCCTGTCACTGTAATATTTTCTGGAAAAATCCTTTTGTCAGGATTTGTCTCCCGGGAAACTGAGAAGCCTCAGGAAAAAAAGGAAAACAATATTATCTCATTTGCTTCTCCTGTGTTTTGCTGCTTTGGAATGAGATTGTTTATCCAACAGGTGATTTTTTATGTGAATTGTTTTGACTTAATGACCAATCACCATCAAGCTGTGTTGGGACTCTAGAAGGAGTGACAAGTTTTCTTTTAGCCTTCTGTAAGTATCCTTTCTCTATTCTTTAGTTTAATTTAGTGTTCTTTAATATAATATAGTATCATAAAATAATAAATTAGCCTTCTGAGAACATGGAGTCACATTCATCATTCCTCCCTTCATCAGGGGTCTCAGAAAATACCACAGCAGCCCTCACCTGGAGAGCAGCCCCTCGCTCTCCTCCTCCTCCTCCTCCAGCTGCTCCTGCAGCCTTCTGGATGTTCTGGAGGGGAACGTCCAGCTGCTGATGATGTCCTTGATGCGCTGCAGCAGCTGCTGCCCTCGCTCCCTGCTCCGCTGTCTCCTCACCACTGGAGATGCGTCCTCCACAGCGGCCTGCTCTGCTGTCTCCTCCTCACTCGAGTCCCTGTGGGGGCACAGAGGGCAGGGCTGAGCTGCAGCCCCCCCCTCTCACACCCCTGCAGCCCCCCAGGCTCGGGTGGGCTCCCAGCACTCCTCTGCTCACAGCTCCTCATCCCCAGAGTCCGGGTAGCTCAGAGGGGCCATGCACACGGAGCAGATGTTGTTCAGGGTTTTGTAGCAGTCGCTGCAAAACAACCCTGTGGAAAATGGGGATGTCAGGGTGGAATTTTCTGGGGAAGGGGTCCCCAGGCTGTGGGGGCTCCTACCTTTGCAGTTGGGTGTGATGCAGGCAGTGAAATCTGGCCGCTCTGCCATCCCACAGGTCAGGCAGTGTTTGCGCTGGATGCCCGCGCGGCGAGCGAGGCGAGCAAGGAGAGGGAACCTGCAAGCACGTGGGGCAATGCCATCCCAGAGGTCCTTGCCACAGACCCCCAGGGATGACGCTGCCCCTTTTGCATCTCCTGGAAGAGGTTACCTGGAGATGAGGATAAGGAAGAGCCTGCTCTTCCCGGTACCGGCCAAGTGCTTCGTGCCTCCTCGGCTCAGGGCAAACACCGCCCATTCCCGCCGTGCCCGGATGATGTTGTGGAGGAAGGCCAGGCGCTCCTGGCATGGAGGGGATGGGGTGAGGGCAGCTGGTAGCTCAGGGAGTGTAGAGGGACACACACACGAGCACAGGGGGCTTCTCACCATCTCACGGGATGGGAAGTACCAGGCACACACCGCCCGGCGCAGGCGTGCCATGTAGGAACCGAAGACGGCGATGAAGAGCCAGATACCGTACAGGATTCCTGGTGGGAAGAAAATGAGTTAAGTGGGGAGGGCACCCCCCTACACCCCCCCACTCACCTGGGTCGTTGAGGATGCAGTGGCCTTGGTTTGCACACCTATGGTGATGTAGGTGGCATGGTCGGGCTCCACGGGCTGGATGAGGCAGACCTGGGACAGCACCGAGACCTCGCCCTCCTGCAGCGTGTTGAAGGCAGAGACCAGGTCCTTGTAGATCTCACTGGTGTACCCCGTCCCGTTGACGCTGATGGTCATGGTCGATGGCGCTGTGGGCGAGCAGTTCAGACCTGGGGCCATCCCACAGCCCTGACCCTCAGCCAGCAGAGCACCCAAGGGTGCTGCTCACCCCTGGCAATGATCTCCGCGCTCAGCTGGTGCCGGAACAGGTCAAGGAGCCAGAAGATGCTGTAATCAGCCAGGATGATGCTGAGCCCCAACAGCGTGTGGCGCAGGAACCCAAAGAGCTGAATCCCATACTGGCTTCGCTCAGTCTTTGACAGCCACAGCGCACCTGCACGGCCACGGGAGCACCGTGAGGCCATGACGGGGGGCTCAGTTTGGGCTGGGGGACACCCTCGAGGGTGGGACTGACCTGGCGGGATGTAGCGGCCCCTCTCCCGCCCCGACAGAGGCAGCACAGTGGGTTTGCCCTGCTCTGCACACCGCAGGTCCATCTCCACGAAGCGCCGCGTGATGTAAACGTTGTCAAAGGTGTCGTCCCGCAGGTAGCGGCGCCGGTACTTAACCGCGCTGGGGGCACGGGGGGGAAGCTGAGCACCTCCACACCAGGTCCCCATCCCCGTGGGTCATCACCAGGGCACTACTCACCGGTACCACAAGAAGAGGACGGCCAAGAAGGAGATGTAGGAGAAGAGCTCCAGGAAGCGGTGGTAGGGCTCCATGTGGTGCTGCACGGCCTCCATGATATCGGCAGACACCTCCCCCAGGCTCTTGCTGGCGTTGAGGTTGACGCTGAAGTGGTGCATGATCGTGATGTTGAACTCAAACTCGGCACGGACACGGTTCAGGGCGTCCGTGATGGCTGCAGAGGGGACGAGAGGTGCTGTGCATTGCAGCCAGATCCAGAAGAGAGGCGCAGAAAAGAACCCATGCAGTGGATTTGGTTTGCTAATTTGAGATTTTGTTAATTTTGAGATTTTTTTGGTTAATGTGCTAAAGAGTGTGGTGGCTAATAACTAACTTACTTATTTCTTGTTGTGAGGTAGGATTAGGAGAAAGGCAAAGTAGGTTTAAAACTTTAAAAGGGTATAAAGAAAAATGTATTAATAGTAACTTAAAGAAAGAATATGAATTAGAATAGATAATATAATAAGAATTAGAACAAAACTTTTAGAATACTCTTTTTCTTATAACCTTTTTTTCTTGCTGATAATGTAAAGAAATAAAATTTTAGTTAGTTTACTACTTTTTTAATAGTTTTTTTTTGTTTATTTAGGGAGAGTGGTTTAAAGTTTTGTATCACTTCCACAGATGTCTGGCATGTAAAACAATAACAACTCCCGACCCCCACATGGCACTGGATACTCACGAGTTGCAAGGTTGGTCCGGATGAACTTCTGGATGTACTTTGGGATGGTGCAGAACATGAATGAAACTGCAGAGAGGGTGGAATCTCTGTAGGGCTGGGCCCCTATGATGGGGACACATCTGCCCCATCAACCCCATTAGCCCCCCGTGGCAGAGGGACAGGGACTCACGAGTGCTGATCATGCCGCAGAGGGCCTTGAAGGTGATGACAATGTAGCAGATGTGGAAGAGGAGGGGCAGGGCACGCTCACACCTGTCCTTGGCCTTGTCTATGTAGCGATAGCAGCTCGTCTTGGGATCCCCCAGCTCGCGGTTGCAGATGTTCCCAGCCCTCGCCAGCCACATCCAAACGTTGCGCAGGGACCGGGCTGTGGGCAGGGAGGGGACATTGCAGACAGGGATGTTCTGAGAGGAGGGTAAGGCGGTGCTGGGGCTGGGGACACCCCCAGGGGTCCAACACTCACCAACGTGTCTGGTGGAGTCTGTGATGGAGCGGATGAATTTACGGACACGGTCACCCAGCACCTTGGCATTCTGGCCAATCTCCTTGATTTTCCTCTGCAAGTCTGCAGAGAGAGGGGACACCTGAGCATACCCCAGAGAGTGAGGGTAGCCTGAGGCTGTCTGTTCTCCCCAGGAAGGGCCCCTCCAGTCCCTCCACCTTTCCCCAGCCCCCTGCTCACTCAGCAGTGGCTCCTTGGCACGTTGCAGCCGCTCGGCCGTCTGGTTTTGGGCCAGCTCAGCCCCACACGACAGCGCCTTGGCGAGCTGGGAGACGTTGTGCATGAGATTGGTGCCAGGGCCTTGCACGGTCAGGCACAGCGCCAGCATCATGACCATCATCTTCCCCTCCTCTGCAAAGACAGAGCAAGAATCAGTCTCATAATCTGACAGGGGAAAAACAATCAATCTCATAATCTGACAGGCAAGAACCAGTCACATAATCTGACAGCAAAAAAACAGTCTCATAATCTGACAGGGCAAGAATCAGTCTCATAATTTGAGAGGGAAAAATCAATCATTCTCATAATCTGACTGGCAAGAATCAGTCTCATAATCTGACAGGGGAAAATCAATCAATCTCATAATCTGACTGGCAAGAATCAGTCTCATAATCTGACACGAAAAAATCAATCAGTCTCATAATCTGACAGGGAAAAATCTGGCTCATAATCTGAGAGGGAAAAATCAATCAATCTCATAATCTGAGAGGGAAGAATCAATCTCATAATCTGACAGCAAAGAACCAGTGTCATAATCTAACAGGGAAAAATCCGTCTCATAATTTGACAGTGAAGAATCAATCTCATAATCTGATAGCAAAGAATCAATCTCATAATTTGACAGGGAAAAATCAGTCAGTCTCATAATCTGAAGGTTGTGAATTCCATCCTCACACAGGGCACCACTAATGTTGATTATCTAACTTCTTTTCTTTTTTCTGTTAGAGTTGGGATTGAAAGTGCTCAATATGGTATTTTGTGTCTGGATTTAGATGTTTATTATTTTTTATCTATATTACAGTTTTATAAACTGTGAGTTCCACAGTATTTTACTAATAAATTACAAAATGGTTTTGTATCAATTTTTANAAAAGCTTTTGGGTTCTACTCAAAGTATGGCAGTGCCCATGGAACAGGGCAAGGCTGATGGAGCCCACGGTGTGCCAGGAGTCAGAGTGGGCTCACCTGTGGGTCTCTATGACACCCAGGCAAGGGGGAAGCCCTGAAGTGCCCCCCAGGAGGAAGAAGGAGCCATCTGACCTGCAGAAAGGCTGGCAGAGCTCTGCTGATGGAGCTCACTGAGCCTTTTGAGGGGAGCAGGAGCTTCTGTGGGATGGACAGAGTGTGGGCAGATCTGCAGCTGACTCAGAATAGAGCAGGGGCTTGTGTGGACATGGGCAAAGCCCAGCAGAAGCTGTGGGGCTCCTGGGAGGGAGCAGGGTCCACACTGCTCTGTGGAAACTCCATCCCATCCCAGTGTGGCCACTGGGAAGGAGCAGGAGCCTGTGTGGTGCTATGGAAAGTTCTGGGCACCTTGGGATGGAGCAGAGGTCCCAGAAAGCTCAGCAAAGCCTGTTCCATGCTCTGGGAAGGAGAACAATGCACAGCCCAGCTGGGCCTGCCATGGAGCTGCAGTGGGAACAGGGACCTGCATTGTCCCACACCCAACAGGGTTCATTGGGAACTGGAGGGACAGCACAAGGAGGAAAGGCTTCAGGCTAAAAGAAAGCAGGGTTAGGTTAGAAATTCCACCCTGTGAGGGTGGTGAAGGTTGGCACAGGTTGCCCAGAGAAGCTGTGGCTGCCCCTGGATCCCTGGAAGTGCCCAAGGCCAGGTTGGACAGGGCTTGGAGCAACCTGAGATAGCAAATGATGTCCCTGCCAGGGCAGGAGAAGGAATGAGATGAGCTTTAAGGTCCCTTCCAGCCCAAACCACCCCATGATTCCATGATTCTGTGACTCTGCCTTGGGAATGACTTGGCCCTGGGGTTTGAAGCAGGTTTCTCTGCCAGAAGTGCAATAATGAGACACCAAAGGCTCGGGGAAATTCAGCTTGGCAAGTACANAGTTTATCCCTGCCCCACCCTCAGGACTGACACCCTCCCTTCCCCACCAGGGCATCCCGACGTGCCCTACACCATGGAGCCAGCTCCCCCTGCATCCTCCAGCCCCCTGGGCATGGTGCTGAGCCTGGTGGCCCTGGTGGTGCTGCTGGTGGCCGTGGTGGTCACAGGCCTGTGCTACCACCGCTGGCACAAGGACAAGGAGCGGCGGCACCTGGCCGTGGCTTACCGAGCAGGACAGACAGACACCTCTGACTACATGGTGCCAGGTCAGTGCGGAGTGGTGGGGGGTGGCCTCAGCCCTGGTGGCTCTCTGGTAGCAGGCTGTCACCTCAGCACCATTCGTGTCCCTCCAGATGTGCCCCCAAGCCACCATGCCCACTACTACTCAAACCCCAGCTACCACACGCTGTCCCAGTGCCCGCTGCCAGCCCCCGGTGCCCAGGACAGAGCCAGCAGCTCCCTCAAGGTATGGCAGGCTGTGGCACAGCACAGCACAGTGTGGGGCACCACTGCCACCTCCTTTGAGGCCAACCTGTCCTTTTTTTGGGCTCCAGGTGCCTGGCACCCAGCTCTTCCCTGGCATGGAGAGACCCTACAGCCCCGAGGGCAATGCCACGCTGCCTCCTGACTGGAAACACCTCGGGGCATCAGCCCTGGGCACCAGGGGTAAGGAGGAGGTGAAGGGGCAGATCCACAGTGGGGTGGGCACCTGAGACCCCTGGGCACGGGCTGGGATGGGGTAACTTTCATGCTGGGGGGGAGATGAGGCAGAGGTGACCCCAAATCTGCCCTCTTTAACAGGGAGGCAGCTGGACAGGAGCTACACCTACAGCCACAGCCTGAGGAAGGGGGACAGCAAAGGTGGGAGTGGGGTGGAGAAAGGAAAGAGATGGGGATGGGGTGGGAATGGGGCGGGGAAGGGATAAACTGGGCCTGGGGCAGGGATGGGAAAAGGGTTGGGGATGGGGTTGGATTTGGGATTGGGATGGAGTGGGATGGGATGGAGTTGGATGGGATCAATGGGATAGGATGGGATCGATGGAATGGAATGGGATGGGATGGGATGGAATGGAATGGAATGGAATGGAATGGAATGGAATGGAATGGAATGGAATGGAATGGAATGGAATGGAATGGAATCAGTAGGGTGGGATGAGGTGGGATAGGATCAATGGGATGGGGTGGGATTGGATGGGATCGATGGGATGGGGTGGGATGGGGAAGTGACAGAATTTGCTGGGATGTGGAAGGGACAGGGATGGTCTGGGATGGTGAAGAGGCAGGGATGGTTTGAGGATGGGCTGGAACAGGACTGGATTAGGGTGGGGATGGGGAAGGGACAGGGATGAGGCAGGAAAGGGATTGGGCTGGGACTTGCCAGAGACACATCTTCCCCTTCTCCCCTGTGCTCCTGGCCATGGGGGGCACCCCCAACTCCTTGTTCCCCAGAGCACTCCTGGGAGGGGCTGAGGGCCAGCGCCAGCTCCCTGGCCAGTGAGAACCCCTACGCCACCATCAAGGAGCTGCCCCCTGCCACTGCCAAGGCCCACGAGGGCAGCTACATGGAGATGAAATCCCCTGTGCAGAGGGAGATGTCCTACGCCGAGATCGGGCTCCTTGAGGAGCCACCACAGCAGGGTATGGTTGGGCATCCCCTCACCCTGGTGACCCTGGTGGCCCTGGTGGCTCTGGTGGCTCTGGTCAGTGGGGTCACAACCCCAGTGATGGGGAGTGCAGAGCCCCAGGAAGGGAACAGCCTTGGTGACAGCCCTGGGGGGACATGACCCTGGTGACAGCAGCTCAGGGATGGGTTGGGGGTCTGGTTATCTCTGAGGGCAGTTTCAGGGCCTGGGCATCCTTTGGGGGCATCTTTGGGGGGCAATTTGGGGATCTGAGCAATCACAGCAGCTCATGGTCATCCTCGGGGATGGGTTGGGGGTCTGGTTATCTCTGAGGGCAGTTTCAGGGTCTGGGCATCCTTTGGAGGGCAATTTGGGGGTCTGGGTGACCCTGGGGAAAGCTTGGTGTTCCCATGGGAGAATGGGGGTTTGGGGGTTGTCCACTTTCCCTACAGCACCAGGTTCCCCCCAGACACATGAATGCTTTCCCCAGCCCTGGCCAGGGCTCTGGTGTGTCCTGAATTCTTGGTCCCCACACCCAGGACAAGCACTGCTCCTGTCCCCACGGGGACATTGGTGACATTCATTACTCTGGGGGGAACTTGTCCCCTTTCAGCCTTCTCTTGTCCCCACAGAGAGCTGTCCTGAAGTGCCTGAGGGCCCCCCCAGCAGAGACCCCCCCAGCCACTACGACTCCCCCAAGAACAGCCACATCCCCAGCCACTATGACGTGCCCCCCGTCCGCCACTACCCGCCGTCCCCACCGCTGCGCAGGAAGGACCGCTGAGGGACACAGAGGGACCAGCCACGAGGGGACAGGGTCCCTGTGGGGACTGGAGTTCCCTGGGACTGTTGCTGCTTCCCAGAGGGTGGTGAATAAAGGGAGTTTGGTGTGGGTTTGGTGTTTGGTGTGGATTTGGTGTTTGGTTTGATGTTCAGCGTGGTGGGCATTGTTTGGCTCTGGCACCGTGCTGGGAGGAAGGGGGNTTGTTTTTTGCAATGTGGACTTTTTAAAGTTCAATTATAAAATACTACTTAGATTTATGAAGAAGAAGGTGAAGAAGGATTAGCTACTGTCTTAAATGGCTATCTTAATTTTATATATATTACTATATTTAAAACTTTAAATTCAGCTTTCTGCTAGGTGATATTACACACTTCTATTTCAACTACACATTTATCATTTTATTATTAATCTGCTACATATAACTAATCTGCTGTATATAATTTATAATCTTATTATTAATCTGTTATATGTAATTTATAATCTTATTATTAATCTGTTATATATAAATAACATGTTATATATAACTTATAATTTTATTATTAATCTGTTATACATAACTAATCTGCTATATAGGATTTATAATCTTATTAATAATCTGTTATATATAACTCATCTGTTATATAGAATTTATAATACTATTATGAATCTATTCTATATAACTAATCTGCTAAGTATAATCAATAATCTTATTATTAATCTGTTATATATAAATAATGTGTTATATATAATTTATAATTATTAATCTCTTCTATATAAGTAATCTGCTATATAGGATTTATAATCTTATTAATAATCTGTTATATATAACTCATCTGTTATATAGAATTTGTAATATTATTAATAATCTTTTATATATAACATAATCTTATTCATCTGGTACATATAACTAATCTACTAAATATAATTTATAATCTTATTATTAATCCATTATTAATTAATTTTGGAAAATTTTTTATGGGTTTAGATCAAATGTGGTGTTCTCTTGAGGGTCTGTGGTTTTTACCCCAGAAAATTTAAATTTTTTAGTATCTAGGGTTCTAACACATTCCTGGTGCTCAGCCAGGAGCTGGCATCCCCTGGCACCCCATGGTTGCTCACTGGTGAAGAAGTGTGGCAGTGCCAGCAGCACGATCATCCGCGTCTTCATGGAGAAGGCCATGCCCAGGCCCATCCCCGCACCCATGAAGACGGTGACGCTCAGGCAGTACCAGACATTGTGGCCCTGCACCAGCAGCACCAGGGCCCCGTAAATGCTGGCCAGCAGCAGGCCCAGCGTGAGGCCGCCCAGGCTGCGGGCGAACTCCTGGGC